CTAGCCAGGCTCCGGGTAGCATAGTGGAGGTCAATGCGACTTTATCGGTCCGTTAGCTAGCTGGCTAGCGTCGGAAAAATATCCGAAGAAAATGTAGGTTAACCGAATGTATATAGGGATACTGTTTCCAAAACAACATACTGACAATGTAGTGAAGCTCGTGTAAATATCACCTGCTTACCTAGTGACTGGTTTAAAATCTATCCAAGTGATTTCCTAGTTAAGGTTGGTGCTTTGTTGGCCTCCGTCTCTGCTGCTGCTGCCTGACTGCTGGAGGATTAACAGGAGGGAAGTGAGGGGGTGGGGAGAGCATAACAATACACTACTTTACACACAGCAAAAATAAAATTTATTACTGTAATACATTATGATGGCGCTCATTATTTATTATTGTTGTTGTTGTTGTTAGTATTTATATAATAATGATCAAATTTGAGTAGCTATTGTTCCAATATTGCAGACTTTAACACACTCATGGTAAATGTTTATGTATTTTGTCTTACACAGAAACCTCTGTGCTTTTATGGTCTTGATAGAGTTTGTAACGAGAAAATCGTTTTGACGATGCTGGGCACTTAAATGCAGAGTGAAATTTTTAAAAAACATTTCAGACTGATGGGTTGAGAAGGAGTAAGTACAGAGGGATATAGTATTTTCTCAGTTGGTGCAACAGTGTATTAATAACCGCAGCTCTTACTCTAATCCTGATAAGAGGCTTTCTCAGCACTGCTCACTTCCACCTCTTGGAAACCTGTTTCCATGAAAACAGTAATACTAATACCTCACATTCAAGTGGCCAGTGGTTCAACAGTGAAAAACCCCCAACCCCAAATCATTTGTGAGGTTTATTTCTCTGAAATCCACATGCATGTATGCTCATCTTCTGAGAATAAACCCAGTTTGTAAACAGATGTCCTTTAATAGCTAACACCAGTTTTCCACAAACAGACTTTGACATTCATGCTGAAATGATTTTCTTCAAATGGAAGATGCCCAATTTAAGAAAATGTTTAGGCACATAAAAGAAAACCAATATACACACTGTACCCTGTTTTTTTTATTATAGCCTTTAAAATTACTTGTCAACCACCTCTGGCCATTAATAATACTGTGATCGGATTTGACAAATAAAACCCAGGGATGCAGAAAGAAGTCATTACAGTGAGACCCAGCAGGGAACGAAACTCAGTTGAATTTTGTGAGAAAGAATGATCAAAGCACATGCTGTATCAAGATAGCTACAACACTCAGCATGATAAGACATGTTTAAGAGATTTTGTGATGACCATAATGGTTCCCAAAAAGTTGCAAGTGTCACATGAGATCACTGTTGGCTCAGCCATGGTTCATCAGGTTCATTGATTTCACAGAGAGTGAATAAACATCGCTTTGTTCAGCACTCTTTGCAAACCTCAGGTCCTATAGCGCCCGCACAATGAGCTTCAAAGCAGAGGCAAACAGAGATCCCAAGATGAAAATCCAAATCCATAGCAAACAGTGGTTGCTTTTATTGTTGATCAGTTTGGGCTGCTTTGTGCCTAAAAGCTCTACGACTCACTTCTTACTGGCGGGAAATGGAGAAAAAAAAGTACATATTGGCGTTGTAGACATAAAATGAATGTACAGTAGCTGAAACAAACATATACAAATAATAAAAATGTAATTACGGAACATCAGTACTTTAGTGTGCCTTAGCTCATTCATGAGCAGCGAGGTGACACTGAGGTTTATTGTTTTTGAAAGCGTTTCGATATTCTCCCTCTGGGACGTTCTCTGTTGCCTGGGGGGGCAAACTGTCCCAGATTCACTGTGTGTGTGTGTATGTTCATGGAGTGTGACTCTGACCCATCCTCCTGCCTCGGTGTCCCATACCAGAGCGACAGAGACCCTCATATGTGGAAAGGGTAGTCCTGCAGGTAGCACAGCAGAAGCTTTGGGAGTGGCAGCTGGCTGTGGCAGCCCGTGCGTCTGTTGATGGCGAGGCGCGTCAGGTGCTGCAAAGAAGGGAAGGCCTGTGGTTTGTGCAGGGGGTCCGTCAGCTTCAGAGGCACTCCACTGTCCTTAGCTGTGTGCTTGGCAAGGTCAGCAGGCGTTTTGGGATGGATGTCATTAGATGGCTGGCCCCGTGGAGTGTGGCCCAAACCCATGTAGTTCTGTATGAGGCTGACAACATCTGGGAAGGACTGCAGGTGAGGCATGCTAGGGGAAATGGAGTCCAGCCAGAAAGAGCCCCTGCTGTACTCTATGCGCACACTGGTAGGTCCACAGCGGGTCTTCACCGACAGGGCCAGCATGTACCGAGGATGACTGCTGTCCCTCATGAGAAACGTGCCTTCGGGCTTTTTTAGGAGAGCTTCCCGAGCTTCACTCGCTGAGATGGAACCCCAGTACCAGCCTGCAGCCAGACAGATGGTTTGGTCAGTTTTTATTTTTATGAATGTAGTTTGTTACTGGATTGTGTTGGGGTTAGGTTTAATAAGTTAGTGCCCAAATGTATACCATAGGAAATTAATAATACAAAAATCAGCTAGAGTGCTGGTGTACCTGAGGTCTGTAGATATTGGAAGGTGGCGGTGATGCAGCGGAGGTCTTCTGCAGGGTCCCAGGGTGGAGAAGAAGGAAGTGGGCAGCATGAACCTCCTTGCTCCTCATGATGGAAAACAGTCACTGACCGGGCAACCATTTCTGACTGACAGCAGGCCTGTTGACATAAATGCTGGAGCATAAATAAAATAATAATTGACATAATTTAAGATCAACCAAGATTTTTGTGCGCTCATATTGCACAAACTCTCTCAAGTAAAGTAAGTTTCATCTCAGTTTTTAAATGTATGTTTTGGTTGCACAGTTTGATTTCAGATATAATCACAGTTAACGTCACAAAAAAAGTCATTTTCCAAAATGAGCTCACAAGCACAAAACCAACTAAACAAAAAAACTAGTCAAAAATAAAACAGCCAGAAACATACACAACACACAATTTAAAAAAATAAGTAATTAGCTCAAAGCCTAATACTTCTTGGGCAGTCATTATTTTATAAGCTACATAACCTAATTACATTATTTATATATCCATAACAAAATTAAACAGACTCAAAAGATTAACAAAATAACCTTACCTTAAATCAAGGGAAATCATATGGATCGCAACCAGTTTGGAATCCAGCAGTCGCTCACAGTAAATTATTAATTCTCATAGTTGCATAGTCTCGGATGATGGCGAAAAAAACATTCCTTGTAACTTTTAAAATCATAAAAAAAAAATAAGAAAACAGATGTGTGTTCCCGGTGGTGTGCTGTGAGAGTAAAGCGGAGTGTGAGCTCTTTATTCAGTAAACTGCAGGACAGAAAACAGCTCAGTTCAGTTTGGACTGACGGAGCTTCCAGGAATCGGTTTCCGAGAAAGGTTTTGTGTTTCAGCGCCCGCAGTGACAGACAGGCGGCTGCCAGAAGCGCCACTGCGCTCTGTCAGTACGCACGACACAGACACGCACCACTTCCTGTACACATTTCAAAATAATATGTATGGCTGTTTCTCTTAATTGGCAACTTGGTGAACAAAAGCTGAAAGGTCATGCCTTATACAACAGGAGTACAGGCGATAAAGCCTAAGCATCCTAACCCTGATATGGGAAATAATTTTACAGTTTACAGAATACTAGACATAGGCTACTGAAGCCATGAGCAGGGGTGTAGGAGTGGGGGCCCAGAATGATCCTTGAATTAATAGCCATGGATGCAGGGAGGGGCCCACAGAGAATGGCTTTGTACACGGTCCAGAATTTTGAGATTAAAACTGCTGCACTCAAATGACAAGAAAATGCAATGAGCCCGGCTATTGTAAAACAAAAAAGCATGACGACACATTTTACAACAATGAGCTGAGTTTTAAAACTTTATTGGTTTATTTCACAATTTCATGGTTATGGTCTGTATGGTCATATACACTCAGGAGCCAGCTTATTAGGTACACCTAGTTATAACTAATGCAGTCTAATACAACAGTTCTGCAGTAAATACTCCCTTCACATAGTTTGAGTTGAAACTGTTTTAGTGAGAAGTGTTTTGCATTCTATAGAAAATAATTTAGTTATTTAGCCTGCCCTCCTTGATATAAATGGGGGAACAAATATGATACAACTGAACAGACTGCTGTTTACATTTGTTTATTTTTTATTTTATTTTACATTTTATTTTGTTTATTATGTTCCCTCAATCCCGTTGTTCTTTCTACACTGACTGTGTTCAACCTTTTATGTTGAAGGCAAATAGCAGTACTTCCGGTAATGTTTGCGTTACCTCTGGTGGCAATTTGACGGTAGCAACGCGTTTAATGCTGCATTTGCGTCCATTGGTACGTCATAATTGTATTACACAATGTAAAGCGTGTATGGTTTCAACATTACAACGCCAGGACTTCTGACTTTAGGCTATATAAAATAGGTTAGGCCACTGTATAGCAAAGCAAAACCTGTAATATATTAACATCCAGTCAGTCGTTCCCCATCATGCTTTGAACAACAGCTTTTTAGCCAGCTATGTCTTGTTATAACATCATGAAGAAATATTACTACCTGTGTGGTGCAGATGGTTGATTTGTTTTCCTGGAAATTAACTGAGTCAGGTCATGACAGAAGTCAGGATGTCTTCACAAAGCCAGGGTTCATCGTCACCCAACCAACAGTTCCAATGTACAAAGATAATGGCCATCTAAAAGCTGCCATTTAGCTCTGAACTGTGTTTCCAGGAAAAAATGACACATCAACCATCTTTTCTCCCTGTTAAAGCAGCAGAACTGCACAGCTGAAGGCTTCTGAGTAGAGAGCCTTCCTGGAAAACACACACAACAAATTGACCTCTACTGCTGTGCTGTGATCCCTGCTGCTTGGCCTGAATGGCCATAGGATATCTCACACACACACACACACACACACACACACACAGTGAGAGACATAGAGAGAGAAATAAAGACACAAATAAAAATAAAGAAAATCTTTTATTGTAGGTCATGTAAAACAACAGCCTTCAGTTGAGTATAGTCAAACCCTGCTTAGGTGACTAAAGAAGGCAACTGTACATGTGATGTGGATGAATTTGCATGTGTTGAAGAGGGAACCATGGGCACAGCATAGGCTGCCCATACCTAAGCAATGTAAAGGAGAATCAATCCCAAAGCAGGAATTTCATAGCCATTTCCCAAATGGCTATAAAAAAGCTGGATCAACATTAGTGAAGCGATCAAAAGAAATTAAGCAGCTACAATAATTTCCTTAAGTGGAGTGCACATACATAAAAAGGCAAATCAGATTGGAAAAGTTACCCTCAACTTAACAGAAATATAAAAAACATTTTAAGCCTTTAAAATCCAGTTTTTATCCGAACTATCCCGCTGGCTGCCTGGCAACCTCAGTGACGAACAAACACAAGGAATTCACTGCCTCCAGCCGAAAAGGTGTCTGGCTCATAAACACCCATAACACTTTAAGTTGTTGTTTTCACACTTGTATGGATTGAACAAATGAGAATGTGTTAATCTGTGAGCTTTAGAGTTGCTGGTAGGTTGATTTTGTTACCTTTGGACAAAGCTAACTGTTTGCCCCTGTTTCCAGTCTTTATGCTAAGCTAAGCCAAGCTAATCACCTGCTGGCTGTAGCTTCATATTTAACATGCAGACATGAGAGTGGTAACTCTCAGCAAGACCCAAATGTCATATTCCACACTGTCAGACAGACAGTATCATATTCATTGTGTATCAGCTTGTTCAAACTCTTTTTTGAAACTATATTCATGTTTACAGAGTCATATTCAAACCTTACACTCTTAGACTGTTTTTCACCATTAGATGAAATGGAAATATTCTAAATGTTTTGTGCATCATTTTATACACTTTCCCCCAAAGTTCAGCCTTACATATTTGGTATCTATGAAAAGCTTTGGATCTCCACAGCAAATGAAAAAATGAAAAACAAAAACGTTCTGTATGTTTGAAAAAACATTTGGCTAGACAATAGTTTGTACCGACTGACACACTGAGTAAACAGTGTACATTATAATTATCTGCAGTAGGCCTACCTCAAAATACTGACACTTAATCATGAATTTAAAATGTTTTCATGTACAATGACATTTTATTTGAATGAACCATAAGATAGTTACACTCAACCTACCAACAGTGCTCTTGTGAACAAAGCAGTCTACTTTTCAGGGAATTTAGAATCTGAACACTTTCAGAAAAATGTTTATATTTAGAAAATTTCTTTTGCCGCAGGAAAATGGATATGAAATCTGCTTTATGATGGATCTATTTGTTCCTTTTTTCAGTGTGAAATGTGCAGTATGCCAAAGTAAAAAGAAGAAATGGCTAGAAGCTAAACAGTCAAATAACAAGTCAATTCATAGATATCGTGTCGTTTGCTTGTGTACTTGTGTATAATGTCTCACGTGCGTGCATGCCTAACTGTCTTCCCCATTCTCCCCTTCACCCTTGATGAGGCGTTTATTGCCCCTCTTCCCTCCTGGTCCGCGGGGCTTGGCGAAGGCCTGCTTTAAGGTGTGCTCCATCGGGTGGACCTCCTCGTACAGAAAGTCTTCTGTCAGGCCGTCACCGTTGTCTATCTCCATCTATACACACAGAACTAAAACATTCATTATTACCGTAACAGTTTATACACACATTATGGCTTTGACCTTGTTTACATGTTATCGCTACAGTGATATATTACAGATTTGTTATTTTATTTGTGGGTGATTTGGTTGACCTGTACCTTTTTGGTGACCTCCAGCTGGTAGTCTCTCTCTACCTCATCCAGTAGCCTATTCTTACAGCTGGAATACAACATCCGTTCCTTGATACTACAGGTGTACCCAGGCATCGAATATATGAATACTGAAAGAGATATGAAGTTGTCACTTAAGCAGCTGATGTTTGATCATTCACTGGATCATTTCTGCTGTTAAAAGCTCTTTAAGCTTTGACACAAAAACCCTGGCTCAGACGCTAAAACTCACGATCACTCCTACTTTTTTAAACTACACACTACACCGGTTACATACACTACACTGGTTAGCATGTTAATAAACAGTTTACACAACCACGCATGCCAATATCTACTTTCTTTTTAGCTTTGTTTTGGTCTTCACCAACTCCTGAGGGAAATATGTGTCTTTTTAAATGATAAATGCTCCAATATGTTCACCAGGTAATTATTAACTTTTTCTGTCTGCTCTTTGGTGCTGGACAGGTAGTGTAGAGTGGGTCTATCAGAGCTTTTTCACTGACAACAGCTAACAGTTTACAGAATACTAGACATAGGCTACTGAAGCCATCCGCATGTTGCTGCTCAATACAAAGCTATGAGAGCAGGGAGAGTTCACGTTACACATAGTCATTTGAACCCATGTCAATAAATATAATGAACTGATTAATGCAGCTTAAAGCTTGGGGTTGGAACACTACATCGTGTCACCTGACAAGGAGGTGAAGTTATAGGAGATTCTAGGTGCAACATACCAAGAAAAAAAAGTATATAATAAAAAGAAATTCTATTATCTTTAAATATTTGAACTTGACCAACAGTGAGAATGTGAACTGACCCAGTGCCTCCTGCCGCTGGCCCTGGTGGGAATGTCTGAAGATGAAGAAGTGGTATCTGGGGGAATCTGTAGGAATCCTGTAGGGAAGCTCATGGGTCTCTGTAGGTTTGGTGTGAACCAGCTCAATGGTCTCTTTCTCTACATCCAGCCGCTGCAACACAACATACACAAACAAGCTTTCTTCAGGGGTTAAGTCATGCACAGACAATTTAACTGACAAACACTGATACACAGCTTGTTTCAAAAATAGATCCTGACAGCAATTACTTTTTTTAAATATGTCACATGTTGCACGCTATGTAATTAGTAATAGTAGTTTTCTGTTCGGGCTCACTAGCTGTATGTAGTTGATGCGTCTCTGCTTGAGTTGCTGCAGAGCTCGTTTGGCCTCTTCTTGTAAAGGGAATGCAAGACCTTGAAGAGTCTGTGCCCTTTTGTCTATGCCAAACTCCATTGTAACCTGCAGAATAAAAAAAAAAAACAATAAACAAAACTTAGAAGCCTCAATGTAGACATGTCCGAACGAACACATGACTGAAATTTAAATGGCAGTCAAACATATTGTAACAAACCCTTGCACGTGCTGTTGGAGTCCCAATTCGTCTGCGTTCATCCTGTGGACATAAGAGACACTTTTTTAAAATCTGTCCTCCTCTCTCTTCTCCAGGCATACCCAGTTGAATTTGTATTAGGAGGAAATTCTACATACCCATACAACCTTCTCCTGCAGGAAAACACATAGGATGAGTACACATAATGTACATAACACATTAAATGTGTGATGCATGTCATATTCAGACGGTTTCTGTTGTTTAAACTTTACCTCTGTGACTTTGATTCGTTGTAATTCCTGCTCAGCAGCTGTGAGTGGAGCTGGGGAGGAGCAGGAGGACATGTGCCGCAGGTATCCCTGGAAGCACAGGTCATCCTGCAAACATTCACACAAGCAGGCTGTTAATTTAATCACCTTGTTGAAGATTTGCTGATGTCGTGCTGGAAGGATTTTACTAACCTCCACTGTGCCAAACATTTCATCTTTAATGTGACCTCCTCCAAACTCCTTCTTCAGTGTGGCACGGGTGGCTGCGTACACCATCTTCAGTCTCACCTGACAGGTGCCGGGACAGACAGGAGGTTATTATGAATAATAATCATGTTTTTTTAATGGTTTCTGAGTTTGCAGAACTTGGGTATCTATAGTCTTCAAATTTTATTTTGGTTTTAACATTTGTGTATGCTGCATTGAGTGAAGGTTTGGTAGGGTCATTTGGCTGTTTGAGCTGAGTTTGACATTAGAAGGCTGTTTTTTTTACACTCGTCTGCTAAAGAGGGAAAGTTTCTCTGTGCTCCCCTTACATACACAAGACGTGTACGTTCAAAATGATTTAGTGATATCTGAACTGGCTTGGCCAGTGCCCTTTATCCAGACTGCAACTTCTGTGGCGTGATGTGGAAACCTGAAACTTCCAGGTCAAGTACTGAGAATGGACTTTTCAGTGAAGTAGGAGACATCTTGTGTCCAGAGGTTAAACTTCTGAATTTAACATTACTAACATGCTCATAGATTATTGGGTTTTCAACAAGGGAGAAGGACTATTTCAATTTTATATATAACTTTTTTTTTTGGGGGGGGGGGCAAATCAGACACAAAATATTTTTCAAAGCAGAGTAGAGTAGTGGTGTTTTGTATATGCTTTAGTTGAGTTTTTATATAGTTTCTGATCTGTTCGGTCATTTTTGGTTGGAAAGATTTAACTACTTAACACATGTTCAATGTGTTGAAGGCAGGTGTAATAAACAATAGATCATGGAGGCAAGTTTCATATTTTTTCAATTGTGGTTATTGTTACTATTTTACAACAATCTTAGCCTATGCCTGTGTTTACATTATTTTTGCCTTTGGACAAAATTTTGTTTTCGTTTTATTTTTAATTACAATCATTTTGGTTGCTGACTTTGAATGAATCTATTTGAAACTAAGGCTGATCAGTGACAACACGGCAATCAGCCGCTCTGGACGTACTGGTGATTGGTCAGGTGACCAGGCGATGAAGATCCACTCGTATCCTTGTGCGTTCCTGGAGTCCAGACGGTACAGGATGTAGCAGGGTTCCTGAGGCGTGAGCAGAGGAAGCAGGAACTGATCGTAGTCCTTGTCCCAGCTCTGCGCTGGCTCTCTGTATAAATCTAGCACCAGCTCCTCTGCAGGCAAAAAAATATGTATCATCAAATTCCTCTCAGGATTTAAGTCAACTGAAAATTCACTTGTGTCAAATACATTAAACATCTCATGTTTACCATTCCTTATGACTATCTTCATTATTCTGATGGCACCTCCCCTCGCTCGGGCCAGAAACTCTTTCAGCTCAGAGGTTGCTAAAGTAACCAGATATAAGAGAGACAAGTCAAAACTGAGGATGGGGTTGAAAGTAAGTGAGACAGAGTTGGGCAGGTAAGAAACTGAGACTCCACTTCAGGGAGAAAATTTGATCCGCTGCCAGATGGTCACACCATCACTTAAAGTGACTCAGACAGGCAACATATGTACCAAAAAAACACTGAGTAATCGAGTATGGGGGATAAAACAACCTCATGCATCTCCAATTTTCAAACCCATAGATGGAAGTTTGGTGCTGAAAACTACATTTAGCTTTTCATTGCGCTCTCTCCTTCTCTCTCACCATGGTTACCAAACACTGCAGTCTCATAAATGATGTAAGATCAGGTGAGAAAGGTGAGCGAGGTAGGCTACGCTTCTGCCAACCGTCCCCCTACGCTCCGATTTCCAAATGCCATCACACACGTACTCTATATATGTAGCTCGTAAACCAACCATAAATGCCTGTAGGTGCTAAATGTGATGATTACTGGTGTGAAAACATGGAAGACAGACATTTTAACTGTGAATCACTCGTAGGGCTACATAGGCTTTGTGGCCTTTACTCATCTGCCCCCTTGTGCAATTTTAGGCCTATTCTTGTTTACAATTAAACAGAAACACAGTTTTTGGTCATTTCTGCTTTTAATGTATGTTTTGCACATCTTTTCACCTTCTTGAATGTACTTAGTAGTTCTATGATTTATTTACTTATCTTTTGTTCAGTTTTGTTGTCATGTTTATAGCTATCTGCCCAAAAATGGTTCTAGGGACTATGTGTTTAAATGCTTTGAGAGTAATGACATGTATGTATACCTACACATACTTGGCCAATAAAGTTAATTCTGATTCTTTACAGTCCACAATTATTCATATCCACAACAGGTTTACAAAGTCAGTGAAGTTAAGGGACAGCTTTAAAATCTTAAAAGCCCTCTTTCTTTAGAGGATATCAGAGAATGTTATCAGTGAGATTGTGAGGATGTATGTAGCCTACAGCTTAAAAACTAAATTGACTTACACTTAAATTGAATTCGAAGACAACAATACTATTACACATAAACACACTGCTTTAAAAAAATAAAGTACAGTTTTCCTTTATAAAATGACATACCGTTAATTCCAGTTTGGTGTGACATCTTTTGGCAGTCACTTTTCACCGCTTCACACTCCTGTCATGCAAGGACCAGGTCCAGGTCTCTGTGTCCTCGCTCTTCTTGCTCGGCAGGTAGGCTGCCTCTACACTGATGGCAGACAGATGGACCCACACGCACCAGTGACATAAACGCTTCGAGGGTGACTCGGGAGATTCCTAACACTTGAAACACAATCTGCGGAACTGTGACTGATGAGTAATAACGTGCGTGTCAGTGGATATGCCACCCTAACCACTAATTTAAAACTCTTTGCGTATCGATGACCACAACTTTAAAGTCTCACTGGGGGAGCCTCTCCAGTCCTGAGCGTGTGTGTGTGTGTGGGGGGTGGGGGGCAGGCTATGTACAAATCCATCATGACATCAGTGGTCAGTAAAGTGTTTTTCAGATGCTGTCAGTGCACCGCATGTAACGGCATTTTATCACTCATTCGTAATTGCACGCGACTACATGATCTCATATTCCAGCTACCTGGCCGCAGAAATTTGACACCAAGCAACAATCTGAACTCTTCGTTTCAACTTTGTTCAATGGACCAAGAATAGGCGGGTTTCATGTATTTGTGGTCAGTACAGTTTGGTTGGCAAAGTTACCTTTAATAGTTAATGAAAAGAGCTCCAGATGACTTGTGTGTACACTAGAAGTGTTGGCCCCTGAACAGTCAGTATTAATGGATCCATTACTGACCACTGACAAAAAACACAAACTCATCAAGGTAACACACTCACACATAGGTTAGTACAAGGTATGCAGTATGTGCAGTAGGGGGTAGTGATGATGGTGAAAAAGGTGTAAGAATGTGAGTGCCAAATGCTTAAAACGATCACACCTTATTTCTCCATCTCTCCTTCCACAGGCTGAGGTAGGTGAGAGAAAGATAAGTGTGTACCTGTGAGGTTACCTGTGATGGGATCATCCATTATTCATTCAGTGGTGAGTACATAACCCAAGCATCTATACATTATTCAACACAACCCCCACCCCACCTACCCTTCTTCAGGAAGACACTTTATGTGCACAAAGAAAAACAATAAATAAATTTAAAAAACCCATTCATTAAATTGGTTAAAACTGCCTGCGCTTTTACTCACCCAGTAAAGTGAGCTCATGTATGTGTCAAATGTTGTGACAAACAATGATATACTCATTTTATAATAAATTTTAAAAAATTTAAAATCTATATTTACTATTTGAGGTTGTAGTTATTCAGACACAATGAGCAACTTCTGGCATATTAATAGATTATCAATCTGTCAATAACAGTATGTGTTTTTTGTAGAAATTAGGAAATTATATTAATAAATGTGCCCATTTCTTGGTATTGTATAAAGCTGAAAGAATCAACTGACAGAAAATTGATGATTTTGATTTGAAATTTTTCAAAAATGACTGTACCTAATAACATAACATGTAGTTACAGACTGTTGGTCAGACAAAACAAGCAATGGGAAGAAGTCATCTTGGGCTTTAGGAAATTGTGATTCACAATTTTCTCCATTTTCGCATTTTATAAACCAAACGATAAATCGAAAGAAAAAAAATACCTCAGATTAATCAATAATGAAAATAATCATCAGTTAGAGCCCTAGTACTGGTATATCAAGATTTATCTGATGCATGGTAAAAGTAAGGATGTCAAAAAAGAAAAGAAATGTTTTATTTTCATCTAAAACGGTTTATTATCAAATATTTAAAAACTGTAACTGAAAACTATTAATCAGTTACATTATACATAAAATTTCAAGACAAAGGGTAAAGTATTAATGTCATGAAATGTACCTGAATTGTGTAAAAACAACTCCTTTTAACATGAGGTATGTGTGTCACAGCTGCATTAACCTTTTTAAAAGTTTAAAAATACTGCAGGTAAAAAGTTTAACGTAACGTTGAAAAAAAAGAAAAGATAATTATTAATGCCAGGAGGTTCTTATCAGGCAAAGAAAGGCAGTCCAACACATGAAGGTATCCTACACCACTGCATACTCCGATGTGTTTCACAATGAGGAGTCACTCTGGCAACGTCCCTCTATGAGTCATCAACACACGGGAGCCAAAATGTCTGTTAAAATAAGAGAAGAAGAAATTACGAATGCACGCTCTGTTCATAGCAGACTGTCCAACAGCAGCTACTTTACATGAGATGTGTCTGATCTCACCATGTTCGTGCAGGCACTAGCAAACGTCATGTATCTGGGGTTAAACTGCAGAGTGTTGATGGGTCCTGGATGTTTCCCGTCCAGCACAGCCACCTTCATCCCACTCTCAGTGCTCCAAACATGGATTCTCCCGTCCTCTGAGCCTGCACAACAAGACACATCTCATCACAGATCTTCAGGAAGAGACCAACATATAAATCTGAGGTGTTTAGGCTCACCAATCATGACAAACTGTGAGTCAGGGGTGAAGCAGGCCTCCAGGGAGATGCCTTTACTGTTGTTGTAGCCCTTAAAATGAGCAAAGATAAGAAACACCTTTAAGTAATGGCACTAATATACAGACAGATGTATGTCAGTACGTTTGTGGCAACGTGTGCGTATCTTACAGAAAAAGTGTGCAACATAGATCCATTGAAAGCGTTCAGGACACGAATCATCCCTCCATTGGTGGATATGAGAATCTGTTTCCCATCGTTACTGAACTTGAGTCCAGTCCAGTCACAGACACGGTTAAACCTTGTTTCAAAGGAGGCAAAGGGACCCTTTCCACAGGAAGATGAATATGATACATTAAAATACAAAATAAAGTCAAAACAATGAAGGTCAACTCAACATACTCAAGTAAACACAGTCATTTGCATTTTACCTTGTCATAAGCACGGAGGTCGTATAATTTAATGGCCTGTGATTCCACTCCGGCAGCAAATATCAGCCCATCTGGGTCAAAGGAACATACAGGTTTCCCCAGTGGATTAGTCAAACCCTGAAAAACACAAATACATACAAAGAACAAGAGTGAGAAAGTGCAACAGGAAGTCTGGATATTTCCACCATACATCAACCTTCCTAATTAATGACATACTTTGTTTCAGGAAGAGCCCAGCCCCACCCTCCCCCATCATTCTGTGTGACTCCTTCCGCTTCCTGGGCACCATACATCTCCCAGCAGAGGATGTACTTCCTGTGGCATTTACATTTACATTTATTCATTTAGCTGACGCTTTTATCCAAAGCGACTTACAATGTCAGAGGTCGCACACCTCTGGAGCAACTAGGGGTTAAGTGTCTTGCTCAGAGACACATTGGTGGATGGGTCATAGTGGGGGATTGAACCCGGGTCTCTCTTATCCATTGTGCCATCTCCACCCCTATCAGTTCAGCCTGACAAAGACAATGATGGTGCACTTCTACACCGCTATCATTGAGTCCATCCTCACCTCCTTCATCACCATCTGGTACGCTGCTGCCACTGCCAGGGACAAAGGCAGGCTGCAGAGTATCATTCGCTCTGCAGAGAAGATATAGTGCAATCTTCCATCACTTAAGGATCTGTACGTCTCCAGGACTCTGAGGCGAGCAGGATAGATTGTAGCTGACCACTTCCACCCTGGACACAAACTGTTTCAGACTCTCCCCTTTGACAAGAGGCTGCGGTCAATCAGGACCAAAACCTCTCGCCACAAAAGCAGCTTCTTCCCATCTGCAACTAGCCTCATTAACAAGGCCCGGGTCCCCCACTGACACTCCCCCCTTTCAAATAATACAAATGTCTCTGCACATGTAAATATTATTTAATTTCATATCATGCACAAACCTGCCACTTTGCACATATTTTTATATTTTCAATTTATATATTTCGTTGCAATACATCTGCACAACATAAACCCAGAATGATCCACATGACTATTCCATATTTATATATTTCTACATTTATTTATGTCAGCTCTATGTTTGTCTACGTGTAGCACCTTATCACCAAAGCAAATTCCTTGTATATGTAAAACACTACTTGGCAATAAAGCTCCTTCTGATTCTCATTTAGTCTTTTATTATAGAACAATATTTTACAGCAGGGCTGAACAATTAATTGAAATCTTATTGAAATCGCAATATGTCCTACTGCAATTTTCAGATCACAGGAAGTGATATATTTGTTAAAGGCAAAATGTGTGTCAAAACACCATGTTAAATTAAAGTGCTGAGTAAGGGAACAGAGGAAGTGTCATTTTCCAGCCTTCTCACAGATCACTCACTTGACAGTTCGGAGAGCGCAGGTCCCAGATCCGGATCGTCTTATCCAACGAGCCTGAGATAAACGTTTCATCCACTGGTGACATGGAGAGAGCAACAACTCTGAAATAAAAAGTCACAGGAGAAACAAATGAGCTTTTGACATTTTAAGAATTCAACTTTATTTGTTTGTGTATTTGTAAAACATTTTGTGTAAATCCATTTTATATTTTTCCATATTTTTATCAGCACATTGGGATAAGATAAAAAACAGATAATGGATGGATTAGTATACATAACTTCAAAGATGAAGAGATTATAGAAAAGTACTTTAATAAAAAATTGTTTTATCTGGTTAAAGTGCAACTGGGCTCAAAAAATGCTCTCCAGGAAACAAGTGCTTAGAGAACAGTGTATATTGTTGAAAGTATGGTAGTAGTTTTCTGTCCAGCAAACACCAGAGAAGGGTTGTGTATATTTTGTTCTCTTTGTAGTTTCTTGGGTGGAAGTAGTCGACTTTTAAGGCTTACGTCAACAAACAATAAGCCACATTTGTATCCTTCCTTTGGATTAACCAGGTAGATGCTTTTACTCACCTTGCAGTGTGACCTGGGAAATATCGGATGTACTTGTTGTCGGTGAGCGAAAGGTATCGGATGGTATCTAAAAGAAACAAAACCACACTTTAGTTTAAAAAACTAAGTATAACACATGTATTTACATTCTATTTCATATTTTGTTTGGTGCTTTGTGCCAACAGCTGACGCTGCTGAGTTATTACCATCCAGTTTGTTGGAGCTGTAGACCACTGTCTGTGCATCTCCATGTGTGTACCGGATGAGGTCTACACCATACTTCTTGCTGAACAGGGTCCTTTTAGGTCTGAGAAAGGACAGAATATTAAAAACTGTCAATCATTTGATGACTTAATGTACGACAGAAAACAGATGCAATAATGTCATATGTAAAACACTTTCACAGGGACCAGTTTATGGAATTGGTGATTATTTTCATACATTATCATACACTTGAATT